TTTTGTTTGCAAACCTTAAGCAATGTTGATGTTAAAGCTGGCAGGACTTCTTGAAGTAGTACTGCACCAACTTCAGTCCTCCAACACTGCTCTAGCCCTGTCTCTTCACATCCTCTCCAGTATGAGGTGTGGTGTCAGGTACCTTGCAACTCCGCTTGTTTGTCTGGGACTCTGGTGTTGAGGGGATTAACGTACAGTTATAGAAAACAGCATAAAACAAGCATAAATTGACTGTCATAATGTTGAGGAATGTTAGATAGCTTTCTATTTTTTTTCCTCTTCTTCCTTAGCGTTAGGATAGCATTTTAATTTGAATTTTAACAAAAGAAAAGATGAAGATTAAAGGCTGTTAGGACACTTTAGGTGTCTTCAGAATTACATGAATGCTAATAAATTTTTATATTGTGACACAGTACAGCTAAAATTTTGGCAATAACTCTTGTCATGATTTCAAATGGCATTAAACATGAGAAATCTGGTTCTGAAACAACTGTCTTTCTTCATATTATTATACAATTTATATCTGAAGGTGGGTTTTTTTTTCAGACTTCTCCCTTTTTTATAGCCATAATCTACAAATACTCATGCAAATACATGTCACTCAAATAATATCATTAAAATCAATAAGAATTCCTTTACATAAAGAACAGGCAAGGCACCTCTACTTATGCTCAATATTTAAATATTTTGTTTCTGTTTCTGGGGGAGAACTTCTTCCTCTACAATAGCATTAAAGATGTTCAGACATTACTTGCTCATTGATGACCCAAGGGTGCATATGCAGTCTCAATCTACTGACACAATTAGATGTCAATCCCCTCTGACTCTGGTTTTTTTTTTTAAATGTGTTGCAATGGTGTTCCTTTAAGCATTATTTATGAGAAATAATGCTACTAGCATTGAAAACAGAAGACTGTATCACTTCATCGTAGAAGATTATCAATGCTTTTTCAGGCCAGAGAGCAGCCTTATTTTGAAACATAACGTATCTGAATCTGCAGAGTAAAACCCAGAGACTCTCTCTGTTACGTACAATGATAAACATAGGCATCCACAGTCCAGGGTCTAGCGTAACGCATTATCGTAACCTTACAGCTTTCATATACACTTTCATACTTGAAATGGGAATGATGAATTATGTTTCTTGTATAGTGATATTTCTGTATTACGTTGTCCATGAAAATGGTCTCAAGACCTACATGAACTTTCTGCTGAGGGCTTTATTAGTCTTTCTTGACAAATGTATGCAATCCCATCGAGCTGAACTAAATTGATTATGCTAAACTACATTGATTTGTGCTAAGTCAAAAACTTTCTTCTAAGATTGGCTTCATTCTCATGTATGACCAAGAGTGTGTCGCAAGAAAGCAAATTAGGTAGGTGACCCTATTGCAGAGGAACAGACCAGTAGGCAGAATGGAATAAAGAGCTGATCCAAAAACTAAGCTTTCTTTTCTTCTCAAAAATAATTCTAGTAATGTTGTTGTTTTTGTTTAATGGGTAGACCTTCAGTTACCTGTTTCCTTTAAAGACTGTGGGGTTCATTCCCTTACTCTTTTTTTAATTAAAAATTCAGTTCTATATTTTATTCATATATGTCAAAGGATTTCATATTGGTGCATTCTTCTCTTGAATTTTCATTATTTCTTGGCTTCTAACTCTAGTCAGTATGCAGTGTAAAATATATATTTACCAGCTCCCTGTATAGGCCCTTATTGCAATCTGTGTATAAAATGACTCATTCCACTATCAAAGTGTCGCAAGTTTGATCAGACGCATACATTTTTAATGTGCTCCAAGCATCTACTCTGCACAATGTTACCTTTGTTTCTGTCAGATGTTCTCAGTACAGTGAATGAAATTAATTTCTGTGCAGAATTGCGCTCTGTAGAGTTTTAAAAACTCAGAAAATGTCATGCCTGTGTAAACAGGGAAGCTAAATTAGTGTACCCTGACCCAGCTGCGGAGAGCACTTGACTGTCAATTTTCAGTACTTCAAAAACAAAGATTTTAATGAGATACATGGATTGTCAAGAGCGGGTATCTGTGATTTTTGTTGCTGCTAAGCTTGTAAAGACCTGAATAAGACATACAGCACTGATCACTGAACAGGAAACCTCATGCATAAAGGCCATGTTTCACTGGAAATAATCCAAGCTGGTAGCCACATACTTGACGTGTTTTACGTATTTATTGATTTATGTGTTAACTGATGTACTGGGAAAAGCTAAATTCAAAACCTCAGTTGGTAAAGAGTGATACATCAGTTAAGCTTTTTCGTTTTAAAAAATGAAACTAACTATACAGTTGAAGCAGTATATTCTTATATTTTGATCTTAGATGTGCAATGCAAAGATTCAAAGTTATGAATTGGACTGCTGATCTTAACAGCATCATAGTAAGCTCTCTGGCATATAGCACTAAGACTAAGAAAGCCAATTAAGAAATAGTTTCAGAACCCTACATTTGTACTAAAACAGCTGCTGTGTTCTGGTTCTGAGACGTGAATGCAGGAAGCAGTCCCTGTGAGGCCTCTCTACTGTTCCTACCTGCCCACAGAAACAGAGCTGACTTTTTTTTGATAGTAATTGCTATATCTCAGTTATTTAATATAACGTCCGGCATGAATTTTGCAATACTAACACATATTTCTTCTTCTTCTTGTCCAATTCTTGTGCTTTATGCTCTCGGCTTATCCTCTTGTGCATTAGTTTCACCAATATCTGTTTCATAAAATTTGGTAATGCTTTTCACAAGCGCACTGCAACTAAAATAACAGGAATAGCATGTTCATCTCTATATCTCAAATGGATATATTTATGATATTTTCAGATCAGTTTCTGCAAAGGCTAGTTTCCATGTTTTATCAATTTAATAATGGTCCACGCATTTTTATTGTCATTATTTGGACCTGTACGTGTTTTTGAGGGTTTTTTGGCATTTAGACTTTGTCTTTGTGAATGATTAAAACTCTTACGGTAAGATTAACAGAATCTAAAAGCATTCTAATGTGTTAAAAACATTTAGATAATCAGATGTATTTCTTTAATGAATAACTTTAGGAAACCTCAAGAATCAGGAATGCAGCTGCTGCAGTGGTCTTTGAAGCAGTCTATTATAATTCTAAGTTAGACTTGAACAACATAGTCATATAAGGTGAAGAACAAAGATATGAGATGACTGAAAACTGGTGTTAAAAAGCTGAAGACTTTTCACTCACAGATATTATTTTTTCATATGTAATAAAGAAATTCAAAGAGAATCACAAATTTGCTTATTTTCCTCTAGTTCTCATTTCTAGTTGCTATAGAGCAGAGATTTATTAAGGCAGCTGTCAGAATTTTATAAAAATAAAGGATGGTGACATGGATTTCTGACATATTGAGGAATGACTCGGACATAATACAGAGTTGCTCATTCAGTAATCAGCATGTATTCTGGTAAGTAGACTTTTCTTCCTTTCCTTTTTTTTTTTTTTAAGGCCCTCAAGGAGGCCTTCAAATCTGATGTGTGTGCTGTCAAGTGTTTCGTCTATGAATTCATTAATTTTGAATAAATACAAGCGTTTCTGCTTATCCTGTTATATGCTGCTATGCTTTGTCAAGCACAGAATCTCTCTGTGTGTAGAGGACATCAAAGAAGATCCTCAGCTAGAACAAACCAGCAGAAGTACGTCATAACAGAAGTGCTGTATGGTTCATTAGTGCCATCAATACCATAAAAATAGCCCGTCTCCAGTATCTTCTCACCTAAAGCCATCCAAGTTAGGCACTTCCTTTCTCGCTCTCATGACTTAAGCTCTTGTTCCTCTTTTCAAAACTCTTCAATACAGCTGTGCACTTTCCTGTTGCCTCTTCCCTCAGATTCTTTTTGCTGTTAAGAATATATAGTACAATATATGGTAAGATTATGTTGCAAATTTCATGCATATTTAGTGTCTGCGTGTCTCACACGCATGCAAGTATTACGGGTAGTTGTGTCCAAGTTGGTTAAAAATCTGGTGCATAGCTTTTTTTAGTTTTGGCATGTAACAGTGATTCATCTAAAGAAAGCACAGAATCTACTGCTCCTAAATGTACTTGAGACATTTTAATTGTGGGCATTAAATCTTCCTTCTTTGAATTGGAGAGCCTTAAATTTTTATGTCACTGTCTTGTGAAAATGCATTTTCTTGTAGTACTGAATTTCTGAGGTCAAGTGTTAATAAGTTTTCTTGCTGCTTATTATTATACAACAGCATATTGTCTATAGGGGGATCAGAGGCCCACTGTAATAACTGTGTTATGGAATGAAAAGGTATTTCTCCCCTGAATAGCCTAAAGACTTCATTAGTAACTATACTATCTGATATTAAATGCACTCTTATCATAGCCGTTTGTATCGTCATTGGCCACAAATGTTATTCTCTTTTTAATGACTCCTTTGCTTCATGAATTATTTTGAGCTGTAGGAACAAATTGTGCTATTTCTATTAAACATAGTGTCTTACAAAAGCAGGGAACTTTTCTGTCTCACAGTGAGTCACGGAAAGCCTGTCTTGAAATGGCAACATTTGGAGTTTATGAGACTAACGAGACAATCAAAGCAAAAATTTGTTAATGTAGTTCTTTTCTTAGTATCTTAGTTTCTAGGCAACAGATATATTAGCTACTTTCCCAAAACCATATTTTAAAAATGGCCATCAGAATATATGAAACATCATCGAGATGAGTTAGATAACGGGACAAAGAGAGAGATGTTGCTCCACCTTGACCTAAGCCTCTTTCCACCACTGAGTTTTCTTGAAAGGCTGAATCATTTCCCTCTCACTAATTACTGCTTTATTGGCTATCTCCTCCCTATTAGGATTGCATGTTATGTGACCATTAAAAGTTTCACAATTCCTCTTCCTGTGCTTCTTTCTGAATTGTCTTTACTGTTTAAATTGTATATTCTTGAGTCACTTTGTATATTGCAGAGTGTTGCAAATCAAGGACTCTATGATCCTTTCCCTATTCTTCATCTTTCAGGTTTTTAAAGAAATCTGCCCCCCCAACCCCACCTCTCAGTGTGTGCTGGATTTGCATACCACCATTGTAAAAGGTTCTCTTCCTCGCCAGTCCCAAAATAATGCTGTAGCATCCCAAGAAGACCTCATCAGAGCTGTTCCACGTGTGACCGAGGTGGGTATGGTCTGCATTGGTTTCTCCAACTCTCTTCTTTTTCCTTCCATTTGGAATGTCAGTGTTCAGGCCAGGTCCATTCTGCAAGTGAAAAGATTAAGAGCATTTGTTTTATTTGTTTCTCACTGATGCTTTCAAGCCTTTTTAGCCTTCTACCTTTTCAGGAAAGAAAAAAAAAAAAGAAAATTCTGCATAGAAATGGTTAGCATTATAATGACCAGGTAGGTCAAAAAGGGAAGAAAATGAAAACCTGCAGAAAGCAGCTTCAGTAGAAGCATAGTGTTAGTGTATGGTGTCCCTGAGCGATGACAACTAACCACCCCGGTGCATGGAGGTAACTTGCAATTCTGAGTTCTAAAAGGCCTTTAAGCTACTGGTAGCTGGTACTTACTAAACAAAACGCTCAAGTACTTACTTATGCTCTGATATCAGTTAGATTTCTATATATTCTGCTTGATGATCTACACTTATCAAAGTGTTTCACTGAATCTGGAAAACAAAGAACAAAAAGTAAACAGTGGTAAGGCTATTAAAAAAAAAAAAAAAAATTGACCAGGCACTGAAGAGCGATTCATCATTGTGTGAAAGCACATAGAGAAACACATACTTGAGGCATTGTTCTTTTGACAAATCTGAGTGACAGCACTTTCTGACAGTGCAGTCTGGCAGTACTGCATCCATTGCAGCTACGGGTATTATATTAACTCTTTACAAACCTGTATCAAGAGATCATGAACCTCTGGTGCCTCATGAAAGACCTTCAACAGCCCAGTGAAATGGCAAAGGGAAAATGTTATTTAGTACTGCTCCGGCATGTTACATCAAATATCTTCTTTAGAGGGTTGACAAACTTGAAAAAGTATTTTCTCCTAACCAAAATATTTATCATCAAATGTAAGGAGTTTAGAAAAAAATTCTTTGTCCCATCTTTTTAGTTAAGTTCTTATTGCTCTCACCTCTGAGTAAGATGAAAAAAATTGCTCCACTCAGTTTAATTAATGTCAATTAAATAGCTTAGAAAGCTGAAAACATTCTGAAAGGGTGTGATGCAAATGTGTGCACATCTAATTGCTTACGCTACATTGCGCTCATGTCCAAATAAATACTGGCATTTGTGGCCAAAATTTTTTACAGAAAGGAAGCTTATATATGAAGTGCCTAGATTTTCTAATTGTTAATGAATTAAGATGATTTCTAGATGATTTACTTGAAAATATGTTATGTGTTATGACAGTACACTGTGGGGCTACTAATGGCAGTCTTCACCCGTCTTGCCAGTTCCACGAGAGTCTCTGTTAATGAGTCTGAAAGTCTCATTCAGTACGGACTCCATTGAGGCCAGTGAAATACAAACGGAAATAAATATTCCATCCTCATGTACTTATTTAGAACTGTATATTTCCTCAGCAAAAATTACCAATACAGTCTTTATTCTGTATATTAAAAGGAGAACCAGGTTTATCTGTACTCTTTTATTCACACTTTCTCTCCTGTTAATCTTAGTCCTCCTGATTTTTTCAAATGCAGGTAAATGATTTTTCCTTCTTTCTGAATACTCACAAGCCTCTTAAATACACGTGGTTTGGTGTTACAGGCAACCAAGATAAATGAACGTACGCTGTTATCCCTGGCAGAACAGCATAACACCATTGGGCCCAACTGCCTACGTTTTAATATACCTTCTATATAGCTTTACACTAGCATAACAAAAAATTTATATACTCAGTGTGACTTATAATAACCAAACTGTATAAATGTCATTTTTCTGTCTGTACAAAACTTCAAGCTCAACACATATTTCCTCATCTAATATGTACCTCAAGGGTACACGAGACACAAACACTTGTCTCAACTCCCTCACTTGTGGACTGAAAACTCATTCCTTTTCTTTGCTCTGTTCTTCAGCCTTGGCACGTTATTACTTTCCCGCTCTCGTTCAGAGGGCTTCCCCCCAGACTACAGATCCTTTCCCAAAGATCAGTTGTCACAACAGAGACTGTTATGATTATTCTTATTTTTCTTAACATCATCATGAAAGTACCTCTTGAAAGCGTAGTGGGGAGTATTTTCTCAAAAGCTTTTTAGTGAAACTCAGTAACCTCACAGAGATGGCTTTTAAAAAACTGTATAAAAAAAAAAAAGAAAACTTAAATTTACTAAAATATTTACTCAACTTTTCTTCTCCTGTCAAAAATGTTATTTAATTGAAACTTACTTAAATCTACATGTGAATTTTAATATATCGGTCTGGTCTGGAGATTTGGAGGAGGATGCAGGGGAGTAAAACTCTCTCATTTTTGGCCTTAGCTTGTGTGATCCTGCTTCTCTAGATCTTGATGGTTGGGTTTTTATTGGTGTTGGTTTTGAGTGGGCTGGTTCGCTTGATCTACTTGGAGTAAACAAAGAGGTAGAACAGCAAAAAGAGCAGGGGCAGGGAGCAAGAAGAGTATGCAGCTCATGCTGCCACTTAATGTTGAAAGACCAGATAAACATCTTGCCGTGCCAGGGAAGAGTTTCAGCTATTTCACAGAGCAGGAATTTTTCTTTAGGTGGATTGTGAATGGAAATTGAAACAATCTGGAACTAGAACTGGGATAATACTTATTAACTCTTCCCAATAAAAATCTGCATGAAATAGATATTTTGATGACTAAAAGGTTTTGTAACCACTGCTTCAAACTTATGATAGATTTCAGGTACTGACCTGTGAATTTAAAGCATTGCTGTGCTTTTTCATAATAATAATAATTCTGTACTAGTAATATCTGCTTCCTTTTAGATTTTGTTTAGATCTATTTAGATTTTGAGCATGATTTCTGCCGGTATGCCAAGCAGTCTTGCACTTGCACAGCAGTACTGCAATCACTCTGCGCACCGAAGGACTCAAGTCCTAATGAGCTTCCTCAGAGGAGGTGGTGGTTTAGGAGGTGAGTGGAACTTAAAAGTAAAAGGTTAGAAGTGAAGAGAGAGATCTTGCTGCTGGCAGAAGGGTGATGCAAGCTAAAACATCTATTATTGGTTTCAATTGATGTGGAGATGACCTTTCTCCCCAAGAATACTGTGGACATACTTAAAAGACTTATCTTTTCATGTGCTCTGGAGTAACTGATGGGCTGAGAAATAGCATGCTAAGAAGTCTTCTTGACGGTGTTGTCTTGTTTATTTTCTAATTTCAAATTATTCACGCGATTAAGTGTAGCAGCTACCATTCATTTGTGGAAAAAGGACAGCCATGGGTTGGTTTGTTGTTTTGGAGGGAGAAGGGCTTGTTCATGTTGCTTGTATTAGTGACACAACCTTCAGGTTATCCCTTTATATAAGCTTGCTTTAAAACCTATTCCCCACTGACAAATTCAGACTGCCAAATTCTGATGTCAATAAGTTAGAAATATTTTTTCAAAATATCATCTGCTACTGCTGATTTTTCTTGAAAATTTGTCTCAATGAGCTACTGTCCGTATGTTTAAAAATAAAACAGTTCGTTGCATATACATGTGTTCAAGGCTAAGAATATGTGAGACAACCAGACAGAAGTGAGGGCATGTCTGTTACAACAGAGGTCTTTATGGTTATGTTTTAATTACGATTATCTTTTTATGTTTATGTTGGGATCTGACTTAAAATGGAGAGTTACAGTGTTTATGGCCAGATGTAAATGGTTCTGACCTCTTTTTTTTTTTTTTTTTAATATTTCAAGAACTCTGCCCTCTATAAACAATGATGTTTTCATAGAGTATTTTCTTTGACATACTTATTATTGTAATACTTATAGAGAAAGCATCTGCTTTATACAATAAAATGACTAGCCTGACACTGGCACAGACTATTTGCTCATTTGTTTGCTATCAGTGGTCAAGAAGATAAGCTCCTTAAAATGGCAATAGGCACAGAAGCTAAAGTTGGTAAACCGATTTTCCAGATCTGCATTGCTGGTGAAGAGTATTGCAATATATGCTTTAAAAAAAAAATCTGTTTGTGTCAGTTTATAGCCTTTCTATTTATTTAATTTTAATGGTAATTTCTGATTATTGTTTCAAAGTCTTTGCTCAGTAAATAAGGAAGGGAACCATGCGTTCCTGCAAAAGTCAGATAAACATGCAGGTGTGCATCTTCTGCCAGGTGTGTCTATGAGAGAGGGACATGCACAGAGACAGGTGGAGGGAAAAAGAGAGAGAGATGTTAGGATAGTGTTGTAGTCACAGCAGTCACTGGGAACAGGATGAATGAGATCCAGGTACTTATATACCTTAGCAGTACGTAAGCACTCCCAGGTAAGTGCTCTAATCGTTGCTCTATCTATCCACCCTGGAATGAAACGTGTATGAAATGGTACTGCATGGGCCAGCTCTCATGGCCTAGACGGTTGTTTTCTCAACCATCTTGTCTCTTTCGCTGGCTAATAATTGTTTTTATACTCTAGTCTGAGCCTACTTTATCTGACACAATAGATAGCCAGGTTTTCGTAAGCAGCAGAAAAGCATGCTGTTCGGACTCGATGGCATTTTCTGTCTGTCCTTAGCAAGTAAAGACTTGATCCAGGAAAGCACTTGAGCATATGTTTAATGAATTAAGGCTTATTTTCTTCCCTTTGGTGAATATGCTAAAGATTAATAATCAGATGCTTATGTAATTATTTTTTCATGCAAACATCACAACATACGGTATACATAAACATGAGCACAACGTGCAGGGTCTTGAGATTTAAATTGGATCTAATAGTCTCTTTGGGGAAGAGACCAAAGTGTATGTTTTTTTTATTTTTTTGGTAAGAATTCTGGTTTGATTCAAATATCCTCTGTTGGGGAATCTCGCAGAGTGGGTAAGAATTTTGATACAAGACACTTACTGGAAGATCACTCATCAAATAAAGATATACAAAGCTAAAGTAAAATATTACGCTTTCCTAAAATATCTTTATGTATTTTCTTACAGGACCTACCAATGAAACAGTTGAAACTCAAGTATGCTTACATAAAATATAATCATGGAGAGTTTAAGAACGCAAGTTCATGGGGAAAAAAAGTCAAGTCTGGGGAAAAGATGATGCATCCAGTTTTGCCTCAACAGCTGTGTCAAGGAGACAGCGCTTCTGTGGCAGAAATAAATCTGATGGCTTTCCCATAGTTAAAGAGTGCTTCAAATTATAAGGATATATATGAGGATATATATATAATCCTCAGTTACTAATGCAGTGAGTCTGGCACCTTTGCATTAAGTCCAGTGATGATACATGGGTGAACTAAGAAGAATTTGATCACAAGAACATCTCATTATGCCAAGGTATGTTGCACTGTTTACTTTATGTGTGATTTTGGTTCATTCTCGCTACAAAGCACAGCTGTGGGACATGCACAAAATCTCACTGCAATCTAAAAATGGTTAAAATTTGTAATTTTAAATTATTATACCTGAAATGTCGTATTTAATAAATGTATTGGAATCCCAGTGGTTAAGCTGTCTGCGGAGAAGCTGTGAATGCACATCGTTAG